AGTTCCCAAGCTTTATGCACACCAGTAACATCACCACAAAGACCTGCATCCTAACCCAGCAACTGCACCACCCTAGGTGACAACATCCACAAATTCTGAGTGTCATCAGGCCTTTTGAAAGCAACGAAGCTTGGCTAACTAGAGATCATTTTTTCACTGGATTCTCTTTGTGATATGCATCAATGCTGGGCCTTGGGTGAAGGCTGACAGCACACACATATATGCCACTGGATTTTGCCCTTGCAGTACCCCAAACACAAGATTCCTCACCTCCTCCCAGCTGAGGGCTGAGAAGACAAAGAGGCATATCCTTGCTGCTACTTCAGTTCCTTATGAACTGCTGAACCCCCACAGCAAGAACCTCCAAAGGATATAAACAGGGAGGAAGCAAATGCACATGACACACACTACAGAATGAAGTTTCCAGAAAATAATTCTTCTGCTGATTTGAGTTGCCGTGAGCAGTGACTCCAAACAATAATACATTCTGCTGGTTTGTATTTGCAGGTACCCCAAGCAATACTAATCTGTCACCTGCAACATTCACCTGGGATGCTGTCTTACTCCTGTGGTACAACTAGAACTGAGATGGCTACTTAGATATAAAGAGGAAAATAATTTTTAAGACCCACAGTGACAGATTCAACTCTAACACATTTATGTGGTAACAACAGGTGGCCCTGAACTCTGCAGTTTTACTGATCTTGCTAAAAAACTAGTGCAGATAGTGTAGAAGCACCTGGTCCCACTCTCACACCTTATTATGGCTGTGAAGTCTTACCTAAATCCTGAATGCATGAGGCTTAAAATGGGGAAAATAATCCAACTAAACAAACACAGAAAGGCTGATGCCTCTGTCAAGGTGGAACTGAGAATCCACCCATCTGAAAATGTCAAAAGGGTTCTCTCTGGGCACACCTGATAGAGATGATCCGTGACAAGGACCCAAACCTCTCTCACCATCTAGATGTTAACTACAGCCAAGACATTTTAACACAACCTTAAGATGATGTCACAAGGGGTGGAAAACGAGATTCTGGAATTTACATCCCAAGAGATAGCAGAGATCTTTAAGGGCAAATGACTGGTTGAGGGATGCACTGCAGGGCAAGGGGGCTGAGAGAAGAAAAACAGCAACAGGCACAAAGAGCAGCTAGGCAGGGCCTCGCCAAAAGAAATCCCAGGCTGGTATTCCTGACATGTTCTGGAAGCTAAGACAAAGACTGAGAATTGACCAAGAGGAACAAGCATATGGTTTGAGAACCCAGTCAATTTTATCATCTAATCTGAATGACACTGAGCTGTTCTTGCCATCAATCATTACCTATCTCCTGCAGGAGGAAAGCAAGCATGCTCTGCTGAAAACAGCATTCTGACTTAAGCAAGACATAGGAAATCTGGAAGACCAGAGTCTAGGACTTGGTGTTGTCACTTCAAGGAGAGAGGCAAGGAACCCAGGGACAAGCAAGGAAGATTCCAATGTGGAAGGGTTCAGATAAGGAGAGGGCTCTTCATAAGGATGAACACTTATATGAGGGATCCCGACAGTAACTGTTACTCCCCCAGCAATCCTGTATCAACCCATCTGGCCTCAAAGGCAGAAGAAAAAGAGGAACAGAGATGATAAGAGGATGGAAACTTGAAGGACATAGCCTGCAACTGCCTAACTGCAAGGTGTCAGCAGAATGCAGAACATCTGGAGCATTAGGCAGCATGGCCTGCTCTCTGCCCAGGAGGCTCTGCAGGAACACTGCATTTTTAACAAAGTCCTCTCGGAAGCTGTACTCATCACCCTGCAGCAGATGAACCCGGTTCTCTCACATACCCAAGAAACAGCTCTTGATGGTACAGGCAGAAATTTCCCTACTTCCAAGCTTCTCCTAGAAGGCAAATGAGATCAGAGTAAAGCCAGAAGTGCAAACATACACACAACAGCTGAATGAAGTAAATCGTGATTCCTAGATATGATAGGGACATAACACACTGCTGCTGTGGGGAAAAAAAGGAGAATATCCAGCAGCTTTGAAAATGCACTGCTTCTAAGCAGAGGACAGTCATAGGAATCTTGGCCTTGCTTCCACATAGCAAAAGTCATTCTCAGCAGGCTAAACCAGCAGCAGCAGCACTCCAACTGAGCTGAACTCAGTGACATAGCATACTGGTATCTCTGGCCAGAATCAATCACAGACACTGAAAGGAAAAAACAGATGGCCTGATGTTCCCTACAAGAAAGTTGACATCATGGCAAACTTTCACATTAGATATGGTAACAGCATTTCAAAAGCTTGAAGTAGTATGGGGAGCAGAAATGCTTTGCTCTTTTCTCTTGAAGAGAAGCTGCTTGGACTGCTTATTTGCTTTGGAATTGGAAGGTCTAACCAGGCTGAGACTAGAATTGCCACATCTGCAAGAGATCCAGGTGTACAGCTATCAGGACATAAGAAATGCCCTCTTTAGGAGATTTTCTGAAGCTGCAGCTCCTGGTCTCACAAACCCATGGCTAGAAAGCTCTAACAGAGCATCAGCTCCAAGCAGCCTAGTAACACCATGTGAGGGTTCTGGCACAGAGCCACACAAGTGCTTCTTATAAAGTAAGGCTATAACTTGCTGAGCAGCTTCTTGTAACAGGACTTGTAAACAGAATTACAGCCAAACCCACAAAATTGCAGGAAGCCAGTAAATATGTATTCAAAGAGTATCAAGGTGCTCAAGGGAAAAAAAATCAAATCACAGGAAACTGATCACAAGGTGGGTTTTTTAAAATCCGACTGCTGAAAGGAGCTCAAATGGCACAGTGAGCAGTGCAGGCGTTAAGAATGAGGGAGGCAGGTGACAGAGTAAAGATGCTGAGGAAGCAAAGCCTTCTTTGATCTGGAGATGATGCACCATCTGGTCAACAAGCACTCAAGCTATTCCACAACAAAACACTGTCTCTTGGCCATATACCAGAAATTGAAGGTTACAGCACTAGTAATTAATTTCTTAATTTCTCAATGCTCAGAAGAGAGAAGCAGCCCAAACACATGACTGGAGAAGCACATTAATTGGAAATGTGCTGGCACAATACTGACAAGAACTGACACAAAAACAGCTTTACAGAGATGCCAGAACACGATGCCTCAGCACCTTAATGGGGCAGAAGAAGGCAGAGGGAAGATATTTGACCATCACTACCACTCTGACACAAAACCCTGGCCAGAAAGCAGACACTCACCTTCCTCCCAGCCCCAAGCACCTACAGCACATGCCACAGTCAGCTTAAAGGGAAACCAGAAAACTTTATACCAAGCCAGACTCCTATAAAAGTTTAAAATAGCAATGCTATCATCTCCTGGGTTTCTTTCTTGACACTTAAAATTTGCTGTTGAAGGAGGGAGACTCAGCACTCCCTCAGCACAGAGAAGAACCACTCTTCCTCAGACAGGCAGCCAGGGTTCACCTGTCCCCAGTGGCAGGTTAAAAACCTCAGCACTGGGTAACTAATGAACACTCACACAACTACAGGGCAGACAAAGAACTTGAGTTTTAATGTGACTTGCAATTAATAAGGCCAGATCCACAGCTCATATGAATGTGCCCTGATATTTTAGCATGAACTAACTTCCAAATGCCTTGTCTTTATTGGCTGGGTTTGTTTCTTTAACTCTAATCTAGCTGACACGGGACATGCAAACTGAAGTAAAAGCATGCTTGCAATTCACTAAGAAAGCAGTATCATTTTTAGCAATGAGGAAAAAAATACAATCAAGAAATCTTCCAGATACTTCTGTAGTACAGATAAGCACACAAACCCTGGATGGAATTCTGACATAAAAGAAGATTATCTTAAATATTCTAAATGAATTCTTATTTTCTTTTGTTTAAAGTTGTTTTCCTTAAGGAAAAAAAACAAACTTATTTTTTAGCCAAGAAAATAAAGAATTGTCTCAAATAGTTTTTCTGCCAAAAAAACCCCAAAAAACTTCTGAAAAAAAGTCTTCAAAAATAATAAAACCTGTTTAAATTTTTCACTTATAATACAACTTGATTTCTTCATCAGCTGTCATAAATTTATTTTATTAGTTTTGTACTTCTGTGTCATACATATGTATTTGAGGTATATTTATGTGTCAATATATACATTTTCTTTCAAAAAAATTAAAGAAACAAGAATCTGCAATAGCAACTTTGTCTAACAAAATCCTAGCAAAACCACCATTCTTAGTTCTCAAGGTATTCTAAACACTTGGAGAGTGTGGCCTCCAGTCTCTTTCCTGCTCTGCTTTGTGATTTTACTCTGTAACTGTCAACATTTCTGTAAATTATATTAATTCCACTTGTTAGTGCCACTGATTAATCCAGAAATATTGCTCAGGAAAAAAATAATTAAATTGTACAAAATTAGATTGACATTAGTCTGAAAGACACACTTCAAACACACAAAAATGTGTTGACAGTAATACAAACTATCATTGGGAAGATGGTCTAAGTATATATTATTTAAACTAAAAAACTATCTAATCTCCTGTTTCAGCTCTCCACTAAGGCTTGACAGAAAATAGGATTATCTCTTTATCCAAAGTAGAAATCTGCGACATTTTATAATTAAGAGTACTTTTTCTTATTGCAAGAGGACACAATCCCTGTTCCTTGGAGCATCTGATACAAGCTGTCAAAAATTAGGAACTCAAATCCATATTTATGTACTTACACTACTGGTGCTTTGCACCTAGGGAAACACAGAGCCTTTTATCTAGGTATGCCAACACCTATTTCTTAATTAGTGACTTTCACAAGCTAAACAAAAGCAAATCAGAACAACCATACTGGTGCCTTAAATTCAGACTGGAGGTTACAGTTTAACAATGAAGACCATGGATAGAAACTAATTTTCAGTCAACAATATTTTATTAAATTTGATATTTAGCAACCATAACAAGAACATTTGTGTAATGATGTAAAATATAGGAATGGTTAATACAATTCAACATAAAGACACAAGATATCAGTATGCACATTACCTTAGTGTTCTCAAGCAGAACTTCATCTCTACCTAAGCCAGGTCCTATGACAACCGAGTGCAGCCGTGGTAACCACTTTTCCACCTCATGGACAGCATTGGGACTGTCACTACAAGGAAGTGTGGAAAACAAAAAAAGAGAGAGGTTCAAAAAGGCTTCATTTTAGTATTCTCAGAAACTGAATAAAGATGCAAGATAGAAAGAGGTATTTCCTATCTTGAATGTCAGGCAATTTTATCCTCCAAACTAACAAGAATCTGTGACCCAGGAAATATAGAATGGTTGTCCAAATAGCAAAAATGAAAAATTTCTCTCAATTCATTCTTTAGGAGATACCACATAAAAATGAGGAGGTAACTGCAAGTATCCACTACAGATGTTACAAAATAAAATAAAATCCAAGCAGGAAGCCAATAATTTTTATAGTCTGTCACAATTCTCTTTTTAATGCTTCTTTGCAGAGGTTATACCTTGGAGAGAGATCCACCATCTCACAGGTATATATTGCAGCTTGCTGGAAATGATGTAATTGTTTATTACCCCACATGGCAGAATGATAAATCTACTCATATGCTTTTTTGTCAGTTGCTTCATAAGAATTTGTTCCAACAGAATTACAGCCAAATTGTCCCCTCTCCCCAAAAGGCAACAGGAGAAACAAGCTATTCAGTATGGGCATTATCTGCTTGTAATGCTTAAAATTTCTATAGCATTCTGTTTTTTGTCTACATTGGAAAATTGATGAGAAAATTCACTGCCAAATATAGCTGCCACAATACAGCATTCAGCCACTGACCAGAATTATTTTGTTCTGATCAGTTTTGTTGTGTAAATAGGTCAGGATATTTTGAAAGCACTGCCCAGCATTTGCAGTTAATCCTTACTGACAGTATGGAAGGAAAATTCAGCCTCCCTCCCTCCCCATTTCTGACATTAATGACAACAATAAATGAACATTTTAACTGAAGCACAGGGGAATAAAACTCCCTGTAGGCTGAGCAAGGGGGTAATGCTTCATAGTATTGCCCAGATTATTGTAAGCTTGCCATACTCCAACAAAGCTGTATTATTACGGACCAAAGCCACTGCATGTTTTTCATAACCGACAGCTGTCCTGATGGGATGCAGCACTTGGGAACAAGTGTTTAGGTTGTGTCTGGCAGAATCAGCAAATTCCACAATGATTTCTGCAAGTGTCAGGCAGGAGCCCAAAGCTCCTGCAGCTGCAGGGAGCGAGGCACCCCGCTCAAGGGCGCAGGGATGCGGTGCCTGGCCGCAGCCCAGCGACCCCTCCGCTGACAAGAGCTGCCTCACAGCACCCAGAGGTGACACCACAAAACAGCTCTGCCAGAACAAGGCTGCTGGGTGGGAGTGATGACCTGCTGCAAGGGCAAGGGGGACAGAGAACCACGGCAGGACACTGCTGTCCCTGGAGCAGTCCCTGCTTTAGCACGCTGAACTTCCATTTGAACGCTGCAGCTCCCTCCTCCTCCTCCTCTACCTCGCCAGAAACAGCAGCAGCTCGAGAACTGTTAAACAGCTCACTTTTCTTTTTATTCATCACTGTACAATCAGTTTATGATGTAGATAGAGGCTGGAAATAAAAATGATTCAAGAAATAGCTAAAGCACTATTTTAAAAAAAAAAAAAAGACAGGTTTTTAATATGTGGTAGGTTGAACATGTGAAAAACTGCCTGCAAACCAAACTCTAATAAAACATCACCATTTCTGAATGCAGACCACTTTCCTTTGTTCACATACCAAATTTATTTTATTTTTGAAGAGCAATATATATCTTGATACGTATATATATACTTTTCTCAAATAAATATATCTATATACCATGTATTTGTCAGAATACTGCAACTTCTAGATATATAAGGATGTCTGGATTCAACATACTTCGGATAGTAGAAGCCAAATACATTAAAAAAAGCTTCATTAAATGTAAGCTAAAGACAGAGCCATAGGTAGTATCATAAATGCTCTGCTCTTCTACAAATATCTAATGCAAATAATCTAACCATAAAAAAGTTTGCCAATTTATTTATATTCAGAATTGAAATAAGGTAATTTTGTCTAAAACTCAACTGATAATGTGCACTTCTCAAAACAAAGCCATCTCTTGGGAAATAAACAGTCCAATATTAAGCCACTCCTGAACACTTTGCCTCTGGTAATAATAAAAACCTACTGTGGAGCTTTTCATCTTCAAAGCATTTTATAAACATTATGTTCAACTCCTTTGCAACGTCACATCAAGAAGCAATACAAGATGTGAAGGGTCAAGAGATTAAAAATGGTGATAATGACTACTACATTGCAAAATCAGCTATAAAAACATACTGTAAAGTAACTGATGGATTTTGAATCTTCATAAAGAAAGCAGAAAAATACTGTCTCACAACAGCATCATGCCAGCTTCACTTCAAAACACTGTATATTCACAATAGCTGTGGCTATGCAGCTACAGACACCATAACAATATCCTCTATCTACAGCTGCTCTGGAAGGGCTCTTGTGTTATCTCACAGCATATTTCCAAACTGTGGTCATCAAACCAGTAGCATTTTAAAGCTGATTGGGTAGAAATGATCAACAAGCAGCTTTCTTCAGGCAGGGGTAAACCTTGAATGTTCCTGACCACGGGATTTAGCACAAAGGCAGAAATTCCTCTAGCTCTTAACAGCTCCAGTCTACACCTGATGTTTAAACACACCCAGAAAAGCTGTGTGAGATCAGATGGCCTCTGCACTCTCAGGCTTCAAAACAGACAAAGCTCAACCTGCCTGTCGGGCACAGGCCCTGGACCATGGCAATTCCTCATCAGTGGAAAAAGTGGTTGGGAAATGCTAGTTGGCTTGGGCCAAAATCCTTGCTGAGGATCATTTGGATAATTTGCCTGTACAGATAGTTGCACCTGGGTACTGAGGAATAAGTATTTCTTGGCAGTAATTAGTCTATCATCACAGGAAAAGTCAATGCATGTTCTTGTTTGCCTGTGGATCAAAACCAGACAAAAATGTCTTTGGAAAAAACTACTTGGAGGCACCAGCACAGAATATCACATCAAGTCCTGAGCTGTTCATGGTGTACTATGCTCACACAAAGAACATAGCTAACCTCCTTTGTCACTTCATGCCAATTTCTCTGCCTGGTTACTAACCTGATCTCAAACCTCTCTTTTTAATTATCACCTCCACTGCCCAAGACATTGAAAACACAACTGAAATTAACACTGTATTTAAAAAACCCCAACACCTCTCTGGAAAGGTACAAGGTATAAAGAAGATGTCCCCTTGATCAAAAGAGATGTGGTCTTCAAGCTTTGTCAGAAATGAGTCAAGTAAGCAAGAATCACTAGGGTTAGGGTTTAGAGGTGCAGAGCCACATCACATCCAGCTTGATCTTTTCCAAAACAGGTATCATAAATGCAATACCCCCACTCTAAAGTGCAGAGCTAGCAATAATATAAAGAGAAGGAAGAAAATCTCCTAAGGTCAGAAGAAAACAGCATTTTAATTTCTGAGAAGAAGGTAAAGACCTTTGAGAGAGACTCGGATTAAATAAAAATCTAGGATTTTCCAAAATAAAGGAAGTCTTTTCGGAAAATGATAGGGCAAGACTATAGGAACTAGTCTGGCTTTCTCCTAATATAAAAATACAAACTCTGCACCATGGACATACACAATAGGAATAATGAAACAGGAATAATTGAGAAGCTGAACCCTAGCAGTAACACCTGCAAACATGGGAGAGTGAACTACAGTACCACTGGGCTGATGTGTTCAAATTCTAGTGACAAACCACATCAGGGAATAAATGGGGAAAGAAAAACAGCTACTTCCAGCTAATCACCATGTGTTATGTGACATGTTATCAGATGCCACTCTGATGAAAATCTAGATTATGACAGCTCACTGTGGTTCAATCAAGCAACTAAGCAACACCCTTCCAATCTCCCAAACACTTCCTCGAAACCTTAACTTGTCTGCAAAGCAACCAATAAACCTCTGGCTGCACACACTGAAGAACCATTACAGGGTAAACACATAAATAACAACTATTATTAATAGTTAACAAGAAATACTGAAGGAGCTTCTGTAACTTGTGTCATACCTGTGAAGCTGCATAGGCTAAGAAAGAGTCTAAAGCTAATGTCAGCAATCACTGAATCAACTTTCACAACACTGTCCATTAGCCAGACCTAAACAAAAAAGCAAGCAGACAAAGGGGGTTACATGGAGGCACACAAGGAAAAAAGACAGCAGAGATGGGGTCTGACCAGCTTTCCTTGGCTATTAGTGAGAGGTAAGGGGAGGCTGAGATGATGATGACCTCTTGGGAAGGCAGACACAACACCTTTACCATTTGCTGTCCCTGAAGCTGCTGGGTAGACGGGACCAAGGTATGGTGTTCAGTATCTTGCAAGATGATCTTTTTCCTCTTTTCTCTGCTTCCAGATTGTATTGAGAAAAGTATTTTCCATGGCAAAACAGACTAGGATTCTTCAAATTAAACATCACTGAGTCTTTAAAATGGTGAGGACAAATTTTCTTTGTAATATATTAGTGGTTTTAGATAACTTTTTCCACATTAACCTCATGAAGTTCAATGAGTGCAAGGTGCTGCCCCTGGATTGGGCCAATTCTAGATATGAGAACAGACTGGGAGATGTCATTTGGGGCAGCCTTGAGGTGAAGAGCTTTAAAGAAAGAACCAAGTTAAGCTTTTTGCTCTTCAGAACTCTTTTATATTTTGCTATTACACAATAAAAATTGTACTAAAACACAGTTCTGTAGATCTTCATCTTAGGGAAAGCTTGATGTAATTACCTTTCCAAAAACAAACAAACAAAAACTCTTAACATTAAAAAAAAAATAAAAAATCCCCAATAAACACCAAAGATGGTGGCTACTGCCCTAATATCAGCCACAGTTCCTAAGCATCTTGTAGAGCTGTTTGTAACAGATATCTGACAGGGGCCATCTGCTTCAAAGTCTGCTCTAGGTTGGTCACTGCCCAGAGTGGGGGGGACACTTGACAGCTAGGACCTGAAACATCGCTCCCATCCCCAACTCTCCAAAGAAATAAAAGTTTGTTCTCTG